GGTTTCTGAGCGTTTTTTTTCTGACGAATTGTTGTTTTTTCATATCTTTGGGGGGGGGGTAGGGAGTAGCGCTACACACTGTACTACGCCGCAGGCGATGTCTTTCCAACCTTCATCCACCTAACGGATTAAGAGAACCGCATTACGTTATGAAGGTTTGTTCAGTGACGGATATTATTGACGAGTGGCTGGCAACCACCATCTCATCCTAGACTAGCAGATCGGGTTCCTGAGCCATTTTCTCGATTTCACTCTACGCCAATAGAGCAAGAGGTGTGCCGTACTTTTTTCTCACTCGTTGTCAGACATTTAAACGAATCTAACTTTCTGTTCTACGTAGATTCAATAGCTTATATATCGGGCAGATGAGAAACCACAAGCATCAAGACTAGATGCTAAGGCCGAATTATTTAACTGCCAGGTTTGAGGAAATCCATTTCTGTCGCATGTTGTTCAGTGATACGTTTCATTTTCAGTTTAGTTTAGTCTAAACTTTCGTGGTTTATAGTCGCTTTTGGATGAAATTTAAGCACGTATTCATAATTCAGTATCGTTAGCCTTTTGCCACGCTGCTTATCAGAGGTGCAGTTTTTTGAAAGTCGCGTAAGCAGCAGCTGAAAGCGTTCACTTTCTGATGATTGACGGGAAGAGCGTGAAGACCTGCGTTCTCGTACAGGCACAGTTACCTGCAATGCCTAGTTTCAAGGCGCAGATTAGCTGAGACAATATTTGTTCCCACATCTTATCCTTTCTTATCAGCAGCACTTGGCGTTCTTCAGCGGGCTGCGCAGTCGAGTTCCGTAATCGGAGTTGGTTTTTAAGCGTTAGATCAGTAAGGTAAAATGGAAGTCTATTTGAATGGTGCTGTCCCTTCGGCGACACATTTTCAATCACTTTCATTTGAAGAAACTATTGTCTGTCTGTTGCCACGTCACCAGCAAGTGATGTCTTAGTGTTTTCTGAGGCTGACCGCCTTGAAAGAAGAAACGCGTGTTATCTTCCCGAAGCACGTACGGCAGAGGCCGCTCTGCACAAAACCTTTCATTTCCGCGTCTGTAGTCATCCAAGGGTCCGGGTTCGGGTCCGGATCAGGCTAGTATCGACCCTTACGGCCGCACGAACGCCGATTCACTATTGTTCGGTAGCTGGTCGGCTAACTTGCTCGTCGCCGACGTCTCTACACCTCATTTTTCTCCACATTAAAATCAAAATAATTTCGTTGTTTACTGCATGAAAAGATCGTTATATAGCCGTCTGGACTATAGCATAAAAATATGACCAAATCGCAAACAGTAAATTACATTGCAATAAATGTAGATTTGACGTTAATTGAGAGGCTAGTATGCTTCCTCTAACACTGCTCCTTCAAGTATGCAGGAAATTCAGCTTCGTTATGTTTCTTGGTCGCCTGATCGGGGAGAACAGGAAAACGGCCGTACTACGACAGAAATGTTGACAGTAGGTATTTTCTGTTTTCGACCTGCCATGGGACCAAGAAACGTCGCCGTGACACGAAATCGCGATCAGTTTTCGATGTCGTTTGAAGAAGCAGTGTGGTCGAAGTGTGCTTGCCTTTCGTAACGTGCTGAGGTCAACGATGCGGGATGACCGCCGCCGAAGCGTCCACACTTTGGTAATGAATTCTGTGCTCTGTTCGACCGGACTCTCGTTACGTTCAAGCAAAGTATTAAAAAAAACTTCATCGATTTATTTAGAACGTGGTGCAGAATCGGCATGACATCAGAATAGCGTAAACAGGTGAAACAGTGTCAAAAACTATGGGAAAAATCCGTACTGCCACAGACTGCTCAGCGTTCATTGTAAGAAGATAGACTTTAACACAGGCTCGAAATGATCTGTCTGCTATTTTCTGTTCACCGTTGGATGAATTTCTCATGAAAACTTTGCTATGAACTTATATTTTCTGTGAGTTTTATCGATCTTGATCGAGTAAGCTTATTCAACGCCATCGATCATCGATGGTTTACCTCCTGCCGGAATCCAGTCTAATGGTTGGTCGATTTTTTGTGGAACTTATCCTGCTCATTACCACTTGCACGCACACTCCTGTCAGTGCTCTTACTCAGTCGCTCATCTTCTTATTTCCACCATACATTTTACGATGCTGCTTGGCGTAGTGTGCATTTAACGAATGACCTTCAGGATTTCGGTCGCATCCTTGATAATGGCTCCATCTAAGATGATGACTCAGCCGGTGGCTAAGGCATCCTAAAGTTGCAGCTCTGCCAATCGCTGTGAACATCACCGAAGTGCAGGACCCTCCAGTGACGAAAATCTGTAC